GGGCCCGGGGGCGGCGGCTTAAACCTGCGTGTGGGCCTTCCGAGCTGCGGGGAGCGGCGCGCAGCGGCTGTCCTTGACTGGGGGAGGTTTTCGTGCAGCGCGGTGGGACCGGCTGTCCTCGGGCTCGGCGGAAAGCGCCTCATCCCGCAATCCGTTAGCGGGTTAAAAAGTAAAAAAGCCAAAAGCAAGAGTTACGATGAAAGCTGCCTGCAGAATGATCCACAGAAGGCCTGCGGGCTGGCCTCGGCGGGTGACACGTCTGTGACAGTCCTGCGTGATGACAGGGCTGTCCTGAACTGCGGCTTTTTTCTTTTCCAGTGTGTCACATTTTCCAGCAGCCGTCACCTACGTGACATTTTTGCTCTTGCAGAATGGAAAGCGCCATCTCCGGGACTCTCTCGTTCACCGTGTTTATCGTTCCCTCTCCCAGGCTGATTTTGTTGCTCCTCAGCTGGCAAATCGAAGGCTGTGGTGAATTATCCAGCCTTCAAGAAACCCCCTGGTGAGACTTCAGTTTGAATGGTCTTTAGCCAAATTTACCCCCAGTTTAAACATTCAGATTCCTTGTAAAAACAACAACCACATGAACCCCCCACACACACCACCACCCAGCGCCCTGCTTCCCTTGGTATATTCAGTAAATATAGCCCCAAATTTAACAGCAGCAGGTATTGTGTACTGAATGGACTCCCTGCACTGGTGGGGAGGACATGGTGAGAAGCATGAAACAGAATGGGGACAAAGGGTTTCTTTCCCATGGTATCATCTTTCTCTGCTGAGAGGAAATAAATGCTCTGCTGGGGCTTTGGGCAGGCAGAGCTCTGTTGGGTTTGTGAGCAGGGCGGGGATGAAAGGATCAGGTTCTTTGCTGGGACGGTTCTTTGCCCCTCAGCCAAGTTTGCCGATGGAAATTCCACCACAGAGCTGACATACTCTGTTGTTGCTTTGCTACCAGGTGGTTCAGGAAAGCCCACATTGGCACATTCTTTCCAGCAGGATTTTGAGCCATGGGGCATGGGATCGGGCAGCCATTCACCTGGGCAGCCTCTGGTAGGACATGCGGGTGGAGGTTCTCAAGGCTTAAGCATTCAAGAGAAGGATGTTACCTAACTTGTTTTCATCAGCGTTGTCTTGTGTGACACACAGACAGGCTTTTGGACAGGAGTCTGAGCAAACCTCCTCTTCTCCTGGACTTGACACAGGAAAAAGGGTTTGGCTGCAAATCACCTTAATGAAGGGGGTCCTTTTTTCCTGAACTGCTGCATCTAGCGTGTGCCTCGCTACAATGAGCTGCAGCACGTGGAGCTTGAGGCTTAGAGGTCCCAGTGTGCGTGCAGTGAGGGTGGATGGGGGTTCCCCAGCAAACTGAGCATGTCTGTTGGTATAAAATTATGGCAGCTGTTGTAGCCTCATTGTGTGCCAGGATACA